TGTTCCAAATCGGTAGGTGATTTTAAAATTACATATTTTGAAAAGTTACATAATATGTTCTTTTTTTCTTGTATTCCTATCATTCAATTCTTTAAAATTCAATAACTATAACATCATATGATGGATGAAATTATTAATAATATCATTGCGATTTTTCAAATTACGTATTTTAATTACATGATTTCATCATGTAATGTTATGACATGATTTTTTCCCACAGGGAAAACAATCTGGTTGGAAATGGACGAATCAAATATTATATCTATCAGAATTCCAGTTGTCACAACTAGAATTCCAGTTTTAAATCTATTATATTAATCAATACATCTAAAATTTTAATTTTTAATCTAGAATTTTGGACTTAATCAGGAAACTTTGATTCGTCCATTTTCAGCCAGAATTAATCCAGCCAGACATTTTTCTCGTTGCACGTTTGCAAAACAATTCGTCACTTACATTCGTTATTGTTGTCGAAAATAGAGACTCAGCTTCTATTCAAATCGCGTTCGGCACGATAAAAAGACATGATGCCATTAACTACCGTCAATGATACTATGGTCCTTTCGAAATCGCCAAAAATCTTAATTAAAACTATTAATAATATTATTGCGAGATCCCGACAATGCTCGCTCGTTGCACGCGCTGGTTGCGACGGGAGAGTTTTTGCGGTCGCGGCGTACGACCGATCACCTAATTTAACATAATTAATTACTTATATACATAACATATAAATACATTTAAAATAAAATAAAAACGCACGTATATATACAGAGCGCCCGTTTTGCGGTGGCCGCTGTAAGATAGACACTCCGTATATGTATATCTTGTATACTTCTATATGCGAGATTGGAATATGAACGATCACATAACGGCGTTCGACGACTCGGAATCGAGGGGCGAGAGAGAGGGAGAGAGAGAGAAAAAGAGAGAGCGCACGTAAGAAAGAGAGAGCGAGAGAGAGAGAGCGAGAGAGAGAAAGAGAGAGAGAAAGGGTGAAGTTATTACACGTGTACAGATTTATCGGAGTTTATCTCCATGTCGCGGAACATTGACCGTTCCCGTTTCAAGGTATATATATATGTATGTATATTAAACATCATATGGTGATTATTAATCAGTAGATACGTACGTATTATACGAACGACAAAATCTATCGCTTGTATATATTGAAGATATCGTAATAAAATGATGTACGAACGACCGTGCGAGGTCTTCCTCAACCAAACTCATCCATTCCGACTCTCTTTTATTCACTTATTACCATTAATTATAAGAGCAATCATGAGGCAAAAAGACCAGATATAACGTGACAACTGAATATAATTTGAGATAAATTTCTGATTAGTGGCAAATTTCTAATAGTGGCTTTATATTGACTTGTAAAACTTCTGACCAATTTCCGATTGATTACAAATGTCATTATACGTTGAATAACTGCGCATCCCTAAAATTTGGTTCATCTGGTCTTCTTACATCATGAGAGCATAAAACTATCGAACAAAAGAGCAGCTAAGAATGAAGGCAAACAATGGCACAGCATTGACGGTTTAGAAAATTTTATTACAATGTAGTCATATTGTATTCTACATACATACTTAATTTTATAAAATTCACAGCTGGTGAATTAAATTGGCAAAATTGACGTGATCGTGGTAAACACGCACTGATACGCTATATCACAGAAATGATAAAAAGAAAACGGAACAATAAAGTTTTCGCAATCATTTGACGGACTTTACGCGTCGTTAATCTGTCATGCAAATAGTGCCATCGCCAACGCGAGATTGATTTTTCTTACCAAGTGGCGTTTTTTTCTCTTTGTTTATATACATGAAATCTAAGATTATCTCAGGTACCTTTGCAAAATAAAAAAACATCACATTTTCTGAGATCATCAAAGGAATCTCTTTTGTAAATTATTTATCGGAACGCGAGATAGTTCACATGATTGAACGCAATTCGTGTCCACTTATTACTTACATAAAATACTAAATGCGAAATATAGTTGAGGAATCAAATTCGGAATAATTAGTTAGAATATATGATTATAAAATGCCTAGCGAATATTCGGCAACAGACAGACTCGTGCATTGTCATGTCACACTGTTCTTGATGCAAATAGATAAATTATGTTCTAAAAACACCAGCCTCACCCGCCTTAATTATAAAGGTTTTCAGCGTATTCTCATCTAGCTTGGCGAAATTTTCCGTCTTTGTCACAGCCGTCATGTGATTCAAGGCGAACTTAAAGCAGACTTCTTCTAGTTCCTGAAAAATTGACAACGGCATTCAATTATTGGGTAAAAATTAATAATACATACATAATGCGTGTGTAGATAAACAAATACTGTAGTCAATGAAATGTTGATAAGCACTAATAATACAATTGTTTAGCTACCTCTTCGTTATACTCGATTGCAATGCTATACAAGTAGGCGACATTCGATACAGTAATTCCTTGCTTTATCATCCAAATGCAATGCTTCTTGAGATTGCTCTCGCAGTAAGCGTTGGCCAGATCCAAAAGTTCTGTAACGAAAGACGTTGCTTCAATCGTGACTGTACTCGGGCCGATAACCGCTCAGGATGTATCCCACTTACCTAACGCCTTCTCCATGGGTAAATCGATCACGTCAGTGTACAAGTATTTCAGGAAAGCTTTGTAGACAACGTAGGAAAACTGATCATGCTCGATGACACTGTCGGAACAGAAGAACAAAAATGAATAAAACTTGAGAAATCTTTAACATAAATAACACAGATCGTTTCTTAAATAATTACCTTTGATTGTTTTCTGCCCAATCATGTTGAAACATGGTTCTAAAATATGAAGAGCGAATTTTCAGGATAGCCTTGTGCACGTGGATACATTGTTCTTCCACTTGTATCTTGAGATCGCTTGTAGACTATCATAAAAGAAGACAAAAGTCATTAAAGACAAATGTATACAATATTATAATAGCTTAACACATAAAATATTTGTCACATTTATCAGCTAGAATCCACAAAATGTATTACACAGTTTGATTTGTCAATCAAACAGCTTATTTCCAGTTTAGGTTTTTTTTCGTTAGAAAGAAGTTCCTTAAAATTTCTTTTAAAAATACTCGAGCTAGTAACATTATACTTAAAATAAGATTTAATAAAAAATGATAAACCTTAACCTCAATAAGTGAAAATATTATTATATATACACTAAAAAGTACAATAAAAAATTGTAAAAGATAACTCTTACACAAATTCGAGTCGAAAACTTTATGTGATCTACCACTCGGGTTTTAATGAAACTTTGAGTTAAAGATTCATCAAAATAATCTAAGAAAATTCTTCTTTCAACTTTAATACATCCTGTATCTTTAAAACAAAGTCATTTCGAATATATGACTTATGAAATTTTCAATATCCACCCTATATATGCATTGTTAATAACTGTGTATGTATAATTAAATATATTGTTGATAATTAGATCTACTTGTTTTAGTTGCACTTTTTCTCTTATCGATATCGTGCATTCATTTCATTGAACATTTAAAAATGTGAGAAGGTGCACGTGAACCAGGTAGATACAGCAATGAGCAAGCTACATACGGGATCATCGAATGCAGATCCTAGACATTGCAATATATTCGGCTCTTCGTTCGCGTACAGGATCAATGGTTTATGCATAACGCTCGGTGATCCATAACACGCAAGCGCGTCGTGTACGTTGGAGAATGGAGTGGAGGTTGGGATAGTGATGCTTTGACCACGACAGTGACCCCACATGTAGACACGTCCTCCTTCGCCGACGGCGACGCTTATGTGATTGTAGTGCATAGCAGCGATGTCAGATACCCTTCCCATTTCGTGCTCGACCTAATAGTACAATTATTGATGACATTGTCCTTTTTTTCTTTCTTTTTTATTCGTTCTCTATATTCTTTATGACGATATGACTGGTTTGTATACCATGACTGGTTTGCAGGAATTCGTCTTGTTGCCGATTCCCAATTGGCCATAACTATTTCCGCCCCAGACATAAAGCTTCCCTTCGTCTGTGAGCGCCAGCGTATGAGCATATCCACAAACTACTTTGACTGAAACAATACCGATTGCTCAGCGATCCCATTTTGCATTCGTTCTCTTCTTCTTTTATTTCCTTAATAAATCGAGACTTACCTATCACAATGCCTCTCAACGAACCGACTTGCCATGGTGATGTCTGATTCGCGTAGTTACCTATTCCCAATTGGCCGACGCCATTATTGCCAAAACCGTATACCTCACCATTTTCAATGACTACCATGGTAGAGGTCTGGCCACATGAGATGCAGACAACTTTCTTCCCACCCAAGACAGAGTTCACTTGCCTAGGTGTGACCTGATTTGTGCTGATACTGCTGCCCAGTTGTCCACAATTATTTTGTCCCCAAGCATACACCTAAATCAAACCAGTTATTCAGCTCGTAATAACGAAAGATTATCGCCATAGTCATCTCGATACTTTACCTCACCATCTTCAGTCAGAGCGATGGAATGGTGACTCCCACACGCAATGTCGATAACGCGCTTCATGCCTAGACCTTCAAGAATAGGCATAGTCACTAGAACAGGTTTCGTGACAACCTGATTTGATGCTCCAATTCCCAATTCGCCATAACCATTGTGACCCCAGGCATACACCTATCAAAGATATTGCTATCATTGATTCAAATGCATCACTTGATTTGTCGATTTCTTCAGCATAGAAAATTTTTAGCATAGCAAATCTTT